ATGCATGGACATGAGAAAAAAATGAATTTCAAGTTTTGAAAGTAGTATATTTTGTCATACATTTTTGGACAGTCAATTTTCAATATTTTCATAGATATGTCAATCTACACTATTTTTTAAGCTAAACTTTAAAAATAAAGATGAAAATATATTTTAAAGTTATCACAAATATTTTCAATGTTGAAACCGCATTTCTTGAAACTATTTGAAGGTAGGCTCTAATTTGATTGTTTAGAGCCTAGGCTCTATACAAACCGCACCCATTGTTGAGTTCCTTATGTTAACCATGACTTTTTTTAAATCCCTAAGTGTAATGTAGATACGTGTGTGCCAAGTGGAGATGTGTGACATGTGTTTTATGTGATCGCCTTATTCTAATGAAATCGAAAGTATGAGACTAGCTTTATTGTATGGGGTGGAAGGTTGAATGGTCATAAGTGTGGCTAAAATAAGGATATTGAAATTGATGAGTAGCGAGACAATATGTGTGGCTCCAATAAGCGATAAAATGAGAGACAATAAATCTAAGTATGCTAGTCATATGTAGCTAGGGCCAATGTTAGAAAAATCGGGTGATCTAACCGATAATTGCTAGATTAGATCGGAACCGACCCCTTGCTGTTGCTAGTTTCGGGTGGTTTTAATGATCGGCCGGTATTTTAAAAAAAAAAATTCAAAAAAATGTATATAAAATCTAAAAAAATAAGAAATTTGATTTATAATATATTTTTTAAAATTCTTTACATTATGATAAATATTAAAAATTGTTTTGGTCATTAATACTCACTTTAATATTTTCTCTTTTTTAAAAATAAAAATAAAAAATACCCCTATATACAAATTGATTCTTTAAAATCAAAATTTTCCATTAATTTTGAATTTCATTTGAATGTGTTTTGTTTTAATCAATATTTATATGCTTTTTCATATTTTTGTATATTTTTTATTTTTTTGAACAATTTTTTGACCACTTGGGATTTATCCCGTTAGAACGGTCGAATCGACCGGTTAGACTGGTTAAACCGCGTCTAGCCCCATGTTCGATTAATCGTTCAGGTTCGATTTTGCGAACAATGGCTAGTACAACACCTGTTGGAGGGTGTGAGTTAGTTCAAGTAGAAGATTAAAAAATAGCAAGAAGTAAAAGCCCAAACGAGTATGGTTGGAAGTAGTGAAAAAATATATGGGGACCTATGGCTTCACTGAGAGTATGACCTTAATAAAGTAGAATAACGGACTAGAATTATTAAAATCAACCTCAATTAGCTGAGAAAAACTCTGACGAACATAATGATTTGAGTTTTTAGAAAAAATAAAAATAATAAACAATAAAGACATTTATCTATGTTATAACAATATGATAAAGAATAAGTCACATTTACCCTTGGGCATAAAATGTATAAGTGAGGCAGGCAGAAGTTGTGCCATTTACTGTGTGGACAACCTCAACACACATCGAGATGCAGCTTCTAGAGGTGCAGTTCCTAAAATCAAACATACCCCATGATTTTTTTTGACCCCATAATAAGCTAAGGAATTTCTACTTATTTTTTAAGAAATATGGCGATTTCATCCAAAATCCGAAAAAATGTTTGGACTTATTAGCAATTCGAAGAAAAGATTGGGATATTCGAATGGAGATTTGGATTAAATTGACCAATTGTGAAACTCTAGATGGTTCCTATTGGTGTGCGCCGTACGACTACGTTTGCCGGGACGTCACATATAGGTCGGCGTCTCTTACCAGAACTTGGGTGTAAAACCGCCCGATTATCCAGTGGACCGTGATATGGTGATTCAAAAAGGAGAAAAGGAAATGAGAGATTATATGGAGCGGGAGGATATTATACTCCTCCGGGAGTATATACTATTTATTTATTTTATTGGGGAAAACCCCGATTTTAGGTTTCTATATTTTTGGGATATAGCCTCTTCAATCTTGATTAATCTCAATTTACAAAAAAAAGAAAAAACTAATTACACCTTTTGTGCTAATCTTAATTCACAAAAAAAACAAAAAGCTAATTACACCCTTGTGCGCTCAAAAAGAAAATAATCTTAAGAATGATTAGCGATATTCTAATGGTAGAGGGTGAGATCTAAAGTCGGGGTGGCGACTCAAAAAAAGATATGGAACCCAGACCCAACTGGACCCGATTTCACAGGAATTGGACCTGGACCCTAATTCATTA